TCTCTCCCGTCCCAGCCGCAGAGGAGCCCCGGGCCGCTGGGCTCAGCCCCTGCCGGGGCACAGCCGGGTCCCGTCCGGCCCTGCAGAGCCCCGGGGCAGCGCACCGCGCTCACAGGGAGCCCAGCCTGCCCCGGGCTCACAGACCCACCCGCAGCCCCGGGAGGTCACGGCCTGGAAGGGGATAAATGCCCAAAGTGGCAATTCCAGAGCGAAGCTGCTCCCCTCAGCTCCAACTCACTTGGATGTTGCCCTTTATCTTTCCTCCCTGTTTTTTCTTCCCTCTGCCTAAAGCAGGTTGTTTCATGGCTGACCTCACTCTTTGGAAACCTGAATCAACAACTCTCGAGTTTTCCTTCCTATTCCTGACTACTTTGATGCTCTTGTGTTCTTCAAACGAACCAGAAATGCCCCAAATATTTATTTTATCTCTCCCTTTCTCCTAAAAAGACCTTTTGGAAATCTGTGCGCATATTCATATGGTTTGACCCAAAACACAGATGCGGAGGAGCACCTGGAAAAGGATTAGAGGCCAGAAATGAAAAAATCAATCCCTTCCTCCGGTGGAAAAAATAAGAAAAATGAAAAAAAAATTTCCCCAACCAAAAAAACAAAAGAAAGAGAAATGTCAATGTCCCCCCTGTAGATTCCACATGGCTGCCCTGGCTCCATTCAGGGGAAAGAGCCATTCTGATTTTACATCACCAAAGAATCTGCTTTAATAGATTTTCATCTTCCTGAGCACTTTGCCCAGGTATTTCTGTGCCATGACTCATTGCAGACTAATGGCTGCATTTTAAAAATGACTCCCAGCTCCGCCAGCACCATAAAGCTCATTTCCATTTTGTACCGCCCTGCACTCCCACAGAAATTTTATTGGGATTTTTGTAATAGATGAAGAGATACCAACACAATTCTCTTACAATCCAGCAAACTGCTTTTGTCGTTGTTTTTATCTCTGGCCACAGCTGCTCTCCCCCTCTCTGGCCTGGGCTCTGCTGCTTTCAGAGAATCTTATTCAGCATAAATCACCAGAAAGGGATCCTGCAGGGCCCAGGATATTCACATCACACTGCAACTCCATTCTTCTTTTCCACCTGCAAGGCAGTGCTGTGTGAGTTTTAAAGCATTCAATAACTGATCAATTCCAATTTTCCACAAAAGGGAGACACAGCTCAGGTCCACAGGGAGTTTAACAAGGGAGGGACCGGTCTGGGCTTCTGGTCACCACCTGAATCTTGATTGTTCATGCTGTTTCTGCCTGTAAAACACAGATTGCAGCAAAGAGCTGCATTTGTTCTTGGCTGGTAATTAACTGAGAGGAAAGCAGGAAATGAGATTTGAAGTCCTTGACAACCGTGGAGGATCTCCAGGGCTGCATCTCTGGCCTTTCCTTGGCTGGTGCCCGCAGGGTTTTCTCTCACCTGTGGCACAGGAGAGGGTGAACATCCCTCACCCAGAGCCTGCCCGTGGTTTCCCAGGGGTGGCTCATTCCTGGGATGAGCTTTGCTGAAATTCCTCCCTGGAATTTCCCTGTTCCCACTCCAGCAGGGACTGGAGAGTGCACAGACCTCCCTGCCCAGCCCCAGGATTTGGGTGGAACTGGTGAAATTCCTCCCTGGACACTGTTCTTGCTCCAGCAGGGACTGGGGTGTGCCCAGCCCCAGGATTTGGGTGGAATTGATGAAGTTTGGGGTGCCCTGCACCCAGCCTGGCCAGGCAGGAGGGGAAGGTTTGGGGGTTCCTCCCTTGGCTCTGGCAGAGTGAAACATCCATCCCCACGCTGGAATTGGGAATACTGGGTGGGATAACTCCTCGAGGAATTCCTTCAGGGGTCCCTTGTCCGGGCACTGGAGGGGGAGGGAGGAAACCCCAAAGCCCAGCCCCACATTTTTAGGTGAAGCTGTGATTTTTCCATCCCTTCCCCTCTCAGCCCCAAGCCCGGCCGCCCAGGGCTCCGGAGTGCCTGTCCCAGCTGGGCAGGGCACACACAAACCTGGCTCACAGGCTCAGCTTTGGGAACAGCAAACTCCATCCCCTGACCTCCCCTCCCACTGTGGCTCCATCCCAGCTGATAAAAGCTACAAAAACGTGAAGTGTTCTCCTTCTGTCCATTTGGAGAAGATAAAACGTGGTGCTGGTCAGTCTGGTGAGACTCTGAGCTGTATCAGATAAGAGATAACAAAATTCCCATTGCATTTTCAACTCCCACAACTTTGGACCAGCTCTTAGGTGAAAATGGGAGGAGGAACTTCAATGCAGTCCAACACAAAATAGAAATAATTCCTAAAAAGAGAAAAAAAACCCAAACCCACAAGTATTCCTCTAGAGAGAGCTGTTTTCTCTTCTGCTCCTTTATTTGTGCAATGAATAGGTTGTGAAAAGGTCTCTGCCCGAGCATCCCCCCTGCCCGGGCTCGGCGTGTTTGGGGTGAGGGAGGGCAGAGCTCCGAACCCTTCTTAGGATGAAGCTGAAGCAGGGGGGAAGGGAGACAGAACATGGGATCAAAAGCATGGCCTTGGCTTCATACCACACTTTCTGTGCCTTGTTCTATCAATGTAAATTCTGAATGTTGTACAGTGAAAATACTTGGGAAAGACTCCTTGGAAAAGGCTGCACTGGCTTCTTTTTTCAGCACATGTACATATATAAATAGCTATACATATATATATATTTGGTAATGCCAACCAGCTGTGTTCTGTTGTCCTGGAGAAGTCAAAGTGGACACTGGGTGTTTTCTGTCGAGTTGCAGAGCTGTGCGGCCCCGTTGGCGAGAGGTGTACAGGTGGGAATGGTGGATATCAGCTATTTATGAATAAAGAGTCTTTTACTGACCCCTGAGCCTGCTGTCCTTTCACTGCCACGGTCGGGCCAGGCACGGGCAAGGGCGACTCACACGGACTTTTGGGGGTGGCATTTTGGTTTTAGTCATCCAGTTAATTATTTATTAACTGTTGCGGTGTGCCTTCATGGTTTACCCCCGAACCTGAGCTCTGGCTGGCCTGGACCTGTCCCCACGCACCCAGCTGTGACATCCAGCTGGCCAAAGGTGGCTCTGGGGTGGAACAGCACCGTGGCCACCATTGGGTTCAGCAGCAGGGGCCAGACAAGCCAGGGCACGGCCCGTTCTCAGTATTGGTAACTCCAATAATTAATCAAATCTGTGTCCAGCTCCGGCCCCTCCATTTGGGAAGGACGTTGGGATGCTCGAGCACATCCAGAGGAGGCAACGAGTCTGGAGAGGGGCTGGGAACACCAACCCTGTGGATGTCTCTCTCTCGGGGCTCCTAGGTCGGGGTGACCCTGAGAGATCCTAAAGAGTCTGCTTCCCTCGCCCAGACGCAGCTGAAGGAGTCTGGAATGTTTCTGATTGTGCTTTCAAGGTTGTTTATTTCTTCTCTTATCTATAATATTTTCTCTCTGACCCGCTGTGGTCTGCCTCGTACAGAAGCCGCGGCAGTCTGGCCTCGAGTCCTGGGCATTTCCCACATTATCTACTCAAACTACGTGTGCCATGTTTACAGTTCCGTGCCAATACCTAAGATCTCTGTTAGACTGTGAATCTCTACTTTAAACCAACAGAAAAGTGTCACCAGCACACCAAGACTTGGAGGACAAGAAGAAGGAGAAAAAGGCCAGGACACACCCAGATTCCTCCATCTTGTACCCCTGAATTGCATTCTAAAAAACCCCAAAATTTTACTTTTCCACCCGGTGTTAGTTCAAACATCCCACTACTCAAACCCTTGTGGTTTGTAATTCCTCACACAGAGTTGGCAGCTTTTCCCACGGGCTAAAATGGAGCCCACAGGTGTTTGTGACTTGGTGCCAAGGTCTGCGAGCCCTGCCAGGGTTGGAGCCAGCCGGGGCAGCCAGGGGGATGTGCTGGACCCGACAAAGCCCTGTGAGAACGTTTGGAGGAGCTGGGGTTGTTCAGCCTGGAGAAGAGGAGGCTCAGGGGTGACCTCAGTGCTCTCCACAGCTCCTGAAGGGAGGTTCAGACAGGTGGGGTCGGTCTCTCCCACCGGGCAGCACTGACAGAACCAGAGGACACAGCCTCAGCTACGCCAGGGAAGGTTTAGGTTGGATATTAGGAAAGAATTTTTCAGTGAAAGAATAATAAAGTTCTGGAATTGTCTTCCCAGGGAGGTGGTGGAATCACCATCTCTGCATGTGTTTAATAAAAGACTGGACTTGGCACTTGGCACTATGGTCTGGTTGTGGTGTCAGGGCATGGGTTGGACTTGGTGATCTCAGAGGTCTCTTCCAACCTCGTTATTCTGGGATTTTGTGATTCTGTGATTCTGTGAATCCTTTCATTCACTATCCACCCTCCCCAAAGCAGTGGTGAAAGGCTCCCCAGCCCCTCCTGCACCCCGCAGGGACGGCGGGAGGGACAAAGCCCCAGCACCAGAATCCCTCAGCGGGTGACAAGGAGCTCCTGAAGGACCCAGGTTGGGTCCTGGAAGCACAAAACCCCAGGGGACATTTCCAACAGCAGGGCAGCCCCAAACCCCACCTATTCTTCAGCATTTTGGGGATTTGATTGTTTATTATTTTATTTGTTATTATTTTATTATATTATTATATATATTACATTTTATTTATTATTTATTATACATTTTTAGTTTTATTTTTTATTTTTATAAAAAGGACTCAATTTTCAAACAATTCTGAAATGCTGCATTTAATGAAGTATCAA